ATGCCACTGCATTCCAGAGTGGGTGACAGAGTGGGACTCCGTTTCAAAAAAAATAAAAAATAAAAGTCTTTAAAATTAGAGTTTTACTAGGATATGTTTCAAAGTTGATCACACTGAGTGAATCTTCCCACATTCCCAGTGGGCTCTTCCAATGTGCAGATTTTTTGCGCCTGGACAGTTTTCTTACAGTGTTAAATATTAGTTCTAGTTTAGTTGTTTATTTTTTCTTCAGGGACTCCAATAACACACATGTGATTCCTTCTTTGAGTATATTCTGTTTCCATTACTTTCTTTGGACCCAGCCTACTTCTTTATCTCATTTTCATTCTCTTGCTTGGTTTCCTATGTTCCTTTAATGCCCCTTATTAAATTTTTATTTGAATTTATTCTCCCTTAGGCATTTTGTAATTTAATCTTTACTTCTAGATAATTTTGTCTGTTTATTCCATTTCTTTCCAGAGTTCAATCAAATCTATTTTCATTTCTTCCTCTATTTTGTCTATTTCTGTTCTTTGTTTTTAAATTTCCCACCCAAAGTGGTTTTGCATGTCTTCAAATGCTTGTTTTGCATATATTTGGTTCTGTTTAGTGTTATATTACAGCTTTCTTCTTCCTCATGGCTGTTGTTTCAGAGGTTTGTGTGAATTTTCCTTGGTTCATATGTGATGAAATTCATTTTCTGATATTTTGCAATAACTGTATGAACCTATCTTCATTATTCATTTTTGTGGTATTGGATGTTTTACAAGATCCCTAGATAATGCGCCCTCTTCTGGCAACATCATGAAGTCCAGATGCTTTAGTGAATCTGTTTTGCAGGGGTGGGGGTTGTGGGTCTTCTTTCTTTTTTTTTTTTTTTTTGTCTTGGAGGGCAATTAAACTTCTCCATTTGCTTCCCTAGTCACAGTCAAATGCCAAAGGACACTTTTCCCTTCTTTTGTGGGTAGTTGCTCCCCAAGGATCTATGTGTTTCCAAGACTGTGGCTTCACATTTCACCTGTAACTTTTTTTCTGAGACAAAGTTTTTGCTCTGTCACCCAGGCCGGAGTGCAGTGACACGATCTCAGCTCACTGCAACCTCCACCTCCTGGGTTCAAGCGATTCTCCTTCCTCCGCCTCCCGAGTAGCTGGCACGTGCCACCACACCTGGCTAATTTTGTATTTTTAGTAGAGATGGGATTTCACCATGTTGGCCAGGCTGGTCTCGAACTCCTGACCTCAGGCGATCCACCCGCCTCGGCCTCCCAAAGTGCTGGGATTACAGGCATGAGCCACCGTGCCTGGCCTCATGTGTACTTTTAAATCCTCCACATATTGTCCCAGCTCTGACACTACTACAGACACTTTTGAACATTTTCAGGCTCAAGGTGTACTTAGTGTTTTTGGTGAGGTCTTAGATCAAGCTTAAGCCCTTTACAACTCCCTCCTCTCCTTTGCCCCAGTTTTCCTCAGCCAGTCTTGTGGCAGGTGGGGCTGGAATGGGCATGTGGGAAGGAAAGTCTGAGCTGTCACTTGTTTTTCCTTTTTCTCTCTTTTCTTCTCCTTCTCCTTCCTCTTCCTCTTCCTCCTCCTCCTCCTCCTTCTTCTTCCTCTCTCTCTCTTTCTTTCGTTTCTTTCTTGTCTCACTCTGTCACCCAGGTTGGAGTGCAGCCTGGACCTCCAGGGCTCAAATAATCCTCCTATCTCAGCCTCCCAAGTAGCTAGAACTACAGGTGCACACCACCACACCCAGCTAATTTTTGTATTTTTTGTAAAGACAGGTTTTCGCCATGTTGCCCTGGCTAGTTTCAAACTCCTGGGCTCAAGGAATCTGTCCACCTTAGCCTCCCGAAGTGCTGGGATTACAAACGTTGAGTCACCACGCCCGGTCGGGTAATTTCTTTTTTTTTTTTTTTTTGTGACGGAGTCTCGCTCTGTCGCCCAGGCTAGAGTGCAGTGGCCGGATCTCAGCTCACTGCAAGCTCCGCCTCCCGGGTTCACGCCATTCTCCTGCCTCAGCCTCCCGAGTAGCTGGGATTACAGGCGCCTGCCACCATGCCCGGCTCATTTTTTGTGTTTTTAGTAGAGACGGGGTTTCACCGTGTTAGCCAGGATGGTCTCGATCTCCTGACCTCGTGATCCGCCCCTCTCGGCCTCCCAAAGTGCTGGGATTACAGGCTTGAGCCACCGCGCCCGGCCCCGGTCGGGTAATTTCTATGTTATTTGTTTTTCTTGTTCTTTTTAAGTTTGAGCATTCTTGTCTCCAAGTTATCCTGAGGGCTTGCTGTTGCATAATTTTATCTTTTCTCCTCATTCCATATTGTTTCTCTAGGCGACACTGGAGACCTACGCTGCTACCATTGTCCTCCTACCTGAAAGCCTCTGATAAAATATTGTCTTCCCATTCCATCGAAGGTTTAGAGGCCTCAGTGTCCAAGGGAGAATGCTGCCAGGAATTGACACTGCATGGTTTTTTTGAACTGGAAGGCTGCCCCCCTGCCGCTTTGCCTGGGGCCAAGAGTTCTAAGAGGAAGACTGACCCTGACTGTCCACCAAGGAGCTGCTGCTACCACACAACAGAGACAAGGAGTCCGTCGTACCCAGGGGATCCCCAAGACATCTCTGAGGATTGCTGGGTTCAGTGACAGTGTTAATGAAAGCCTCAAGTGACCCAATACAAGCAGAATAATCAAGGACTCAAGACCCTTCAGGAATGAAGTTTGGGTCACCTTATTAAGTAAAGGAACTAAAGGAACATAAATGGGTATGGAAGAAAGAAGGTGTAAATATCAATCCAGGGTTAACAGATAAAATACAGGATGCTCAGTGTCAAAAAGGAAAACTTTAGCCCAGGTAAGTTTCACAGTGTTTAACTGAGGAAAGAACAATTCAAGAATTGGGCAGCCTCTCATGCCAGAGTGGGCTCAGAAATGCCAGTGTAGCCACGTGGTGGAAGATTTATGGACAGAAAGGAAAATGAAGTACAGAAAACATAAGTGAGATACAGAAACCAGCCAGATTGGTTACAGATTGGTGTTTCCCTTATCTGAACACAGTTTGAACAGTTGGCCACCTTTGATTAGCCAAAACTCAGTGACTGCCACAAGTGTTGGCTACAGTCTGCTTACAAGTCCATTTAGGTTATAGTTCACAATGTACAGAGAAACCTTTAAGCCAGACTTAAAATATGTAAGAAGGCAGCTTTAGGCTAAACATGATTTAACACTGGTGATAGCCCAGGCACAGTGGCTCACACCTGTAACCCCAGCACCTTGGGAGGCTGAGGTGGGTGGATCACTTGAGGCCAGGAGTTGGAGACCAGTCTGGCCATTATGGCAAAACCTTGTCTTTACTAAAAATACAAAAATTAGCCAGGTGTGGTGGCACGCACTTATAATCTCAGCTACTCAGGACGTTGAGGCACGAGAATGGGTTAAACCCAGAAGAAGGAGGTTGCAGTGAGCCAAGATCACGCCACTGCACTCCAGGCTGGGCAACAGAGCAAGACTGTCTCAAAAACAAAAACAAAAACAAAACAAAAACCCACCAATTATATCTGAACCTTGGAGAAACACCTACTGGTTTCTTAGTGTAAGTATGTCCTATTAACAACTAAAAAAATTCATTGTTTCTCCAAAATTCAAATTTAAATGCAAATCCTATATAATATTTTTATTTGCTAAACCTAGCAACCCTAATTAGGGCCTTGTAACCCATTGCACAAACGATTCATACTTTCTTCCTTCCATGTAAAATAGAGATTAAGCAATATCTTTCCCCCTGTTTCATATAAAGTGTATTACTGATAATTGTTAACTAAAAAAAGAAACTCAATATACAGAGTTTATAAATTTTGAAAGGAGGAGACTTTATTTCTTATAAAGGGTTAGGCTGGGCTTGGTGGCTCACACCTATAATCCCGGCACTTTGGGAGGCCAAGGCAGGAGGATCACTTGAACCCAGGAGGCCTTAACCAGCCTGGACAACATAGTGAGACCCCATCTCTACACAAAATTTAAAAAATTAGCCGGGTGTGGTGGCATGCACCTGTAGGCTTAGGTACCTGGAGGCTGAGGCAGGAGGATCACTTTGGCCCAGGAGTTTGAGGGTGCAGTGAGCTATGATCGCACCGCTGCACTCCAGCCTCAGAAAGGGAGTGAGACCCGCTGGGAAGCATGCCTCCAGTCAAGACCAGAGACAGGAACTTCAAAGGAGGAGGGGTTAGGGTAGGAGCTTCATGCTCAGTGGATTGACTAAACATACCTATTCAATAGGTTACATGAGGAGCTATGAATATTCATGAAGGTGGTTCTGACACACGCATATTGAACAAACATGCATGTAACATACAACCCATGGTCACTCTGGGGTGAAGACTTAACATTTAAATGTATTATAATTAGGCCCCATATGGCAAAATGTCTTTTCAGGACACAAAGACATGCAAGTGCAGGAGCTCTGTAAGCCAGCCAGAACCAGTCCATGGTGGGTGGTCATCTTGTCAGGAAGAAATTACTGAAATCAGTCTTGTCCAACCAAAGCTGTAGTTACGGCTGGTGAAACAGTGGCTGGAGGTCAGTTAGTCAGCATCTGGTGGAGCTGAAAATGTTTTTAATATTGTTTATCTCAAAGCCAGTGCTTGGGCCGAGTGCGGTGGCTCACGACTGTTATCCCAACACTTTGGAAGGCCGAGGTGGGCAGATCACGTGAGGTCATGAGTTCAAGACCAGCCTGGCCAATGTGGTGAAACTCCATCTCTACTAAAAATACAAAGATTGGCCGGGCGTGGTGGCGGACACCTGTAATCCCAGTTACTCAGGAGGCTGAGGCGGGAGAATCACTTGAACCCAGAAGGCAGAGGTTGCAGTGGGCCAAGATCACGCCACTGTACTCCTGCCTGGGTGACAAAGTAAGACTCCGTCTCAAACAAAAAAAAAAAACAAAAACACACACACAAAAAAGTGTTTGTTTTTAAGCTTTTTAGCTGCTACAGAAAAAAAAAAAAACCCAAAAAACCCTTGTGCAGTTAGAACATAGTTTATTCATAAGTGGGGGGCAGGGGAAGCAGAGTGTGAAGGGGGGCCCTACATGACTTAACCCTTGCTTGGCATGGCCAAGCAAGATACTGTTTACAATTTGGTATCTTATGCCACAGAGTTTGTTCTGTCCATCTCATGATCCCTATTTTGTTCATTCATGCTGGGCAGTTGTGTCTAAACCATAAAGGGATGGGGTATAACAAGTTGCATCTGACCTCCCAGCCTGTCAGGGCCAGGAATTAGGTTTTTTCTGAGGTCCCCTTGGCCACGAGGTGGCGTCTGTTCAGTCGGTGGGGTTTTAGGATTTTTAGTTTACATAACTAATTTGATAATCCAGGGCATTTGTTACTGCGTATCAAGGTGAGATTATGACTCAGCTATTTAGCACCTCCATGGCAACATGTACTTCCCCACTGTCATGGCAGAGGAAGAGAGAGCTGGAAAAATGAGCACTGGCAATGACATACTGTGCCCCAAAACTGACCCCCTTCACATTTTTCTTTTTCTTTTTGAGAGGAGTCTCGCTCTGTCATTCAGGCTGGAATGCAGTGGCCCGATCTCAGTTCACTGCAACCTCCACCTCCCAGGTTCAAGCGATTCTCCTGCCTCAGCCTCCTGAGTAGCTGGGATTATGGGCACGCCACCACGCCCCACTAATTTTTGTATTTTTAGTAGAGATGGGTTTCACTACGTTGGCCAGGCTGGTCTCGAACTCCTCACCTCAGGTGATCAACCCGCCTTGGCCTCCCAAAGTGCTGGGATTACAGGCATGAGCCACCCCGCCCAGCCCTTGACCCCCTTCACATTTCATTAGCCAGAGCTGGACTTGTGGCCAGACCTGCCTTGAAGGAGGCAAGGAAAGGTATGTGAACATGAGCAACATCCACACAGGTGGACAAAGTGACCCATGTGACTTTGGTTCCCTCTCTTTAGGAAGAATTTTTGGATGTACTTGGGACAGTTACAGGCATGCTGCTATTGCCATGATCTTCGGGAAGCTGAAGTGATGAGCAGCAGTGTGTGATTCTGAGAACACAGAGGGCTGGGGTCTAGGAGCTACCTCAGGTGGGCTCACTCAGTGCCATCCTCCCTCTTGGTGCCTCCCTAGGAGTGCTGAGAAGATGCAAAACCAAAAGCTTTTACTCCAAAATTGCTTAGCCAAGCTAAACACATGCATTCCCTATGATTTAACAATTCTGCTCCTAGTATGTATCACAGAGAAATTGTCCCATGGGTCCACAAGGGCATATAAGAACAGCCATTGCAGCACAGTTCTGGTTGGGGTCGGGGGAGCTGAAGGTCATGTGGTGTCCACCACTGGAGGAATGGATGGATAAAATGGGATGGATGCACAGGTGGGCAGATGGGTGAAAGGATGGTCAGTCCTCACGTGGACTAGTTACCTTACTCTTAGGCTAACAATTAGCATCTCCAGGCAAAATGAAAACGTTTCTGGATTCCCTTGCCACTGGAGTTCTGTGGAAGAGAGAAATGGAGTCCACTAATGAGATGCCCTTTGAAGGATGTGGATGGAGGAAACAGGGCCAAGCAAGTTTGCCCTGCGGGCCCAGCCTTGGGGATATTCAGTCCTTCTGCAGCAGCATCAAGCTTCTGGCTTTGTGGGTGTCAGGAGGCAGGAGTGGCAGTTGCACCCCAAGTCCCAGGGCCCAAGCACAGCTTCCGGGGTGCTTAGAGGGGGTGGATGGCAGGCAGGAGAGTATGTTCTGATCTCAGCTCCAGTGGGAGCCTCCTGGAGGCGACTTCTCCAGCCTTCCCATGTACTTTGTTAAGTACCCTGATTCTCTTAAATTCTCTTCTGCCAAAAACAGCTGGAGAAGTTTCTGTTTCCTGAAACTGACCCCTTCCTGATTGGGAAATGACTTGCCAAGGTGACAAAGCAAGTTACTGCCACATCTCAAATTTGAGACAGGCCTCCCGACTCTACCTATTAACAGTCCACTGTCCCAGGCCGGTTTTTTGTTTTTTGGGTTTTTTTTTTTTTTTGAGACAGAGCCTCGCTGTCGCCCAGGCTGGAGTGCAGTGGCGTGATCTTGGCTCACTGCAACTTCCGCCTCCCGGGTTCAAGCAATTCCCCTGCCTCACCCTCCCAAGTAGCTGGAATTATAGGTGCCCATCACCATGCCTGGCTGATTTTTGTATTTTTATTAGAGACAGGGTTTCGCCATGTTGGCCAGATTGATCTCGAACTCCTGGCCTCAGGTGATCCACTCACCTCAGCCTCTCAAAGTGCTGAGATTACAGGCATGAGCCACCACACCCAGCTCAGGCCCGTCTTTCCTCTCCTAGCCTGCCTCAGTCAGAAGGATCAGGAGGGGTAAAGCTGGCCCATGGGGAACCTGTGGCTGGGAGCCCATGAGGCAGGGGCAGCAGAAGGCGGCAGAGAGGGTTGGACCTCTGTGGCCCTGGCTGTCTGCTCTGATGGCATGATAATGGAAACCTGCTACCAGATGACAAAACACTATTACCAAACAGCTGGGTGACCTTAGGAAAATCACTCAACCGCTCCTGCCTACAGATTTCCTCACCTGCGGGGCCCTGCAGAGCTGTTGCAAGGATGAAATGAGGCAACGTACATGTGCCTGGCAGCAGAGCTGACCCCACACAGCTCAATTATCAGTGTTTGCATGTTTGGGGAAAAAAAAACAACTAGAGGAACTAGTTCTTCTTACCTGGGAAGATTCCTAAGCACAAATTAGATTTCTTAGGGGCTGAGATTAGAAAAAGCTTAGTCTCAGCTCCTAGACCTTATTAGCAGGCCCTTCCTAGAGCTGGCTCTAATCGGCATAGCTTGGGAAGCTCTCTTCCTGGGGAAGAAACCACCTAGCCACTGCAGCCTTTCTGTTTCTGGCTTAGGTCCACTGGCCTGCCTGGCGTGAGCTCCCTGGGGCAGGGAGCCTGCAAACCTTGGGAGTGGAGAAGCGCTGGCTTGGCCCAGTGTGGTGGCTCACACCAGTAATCCCAACACTTGGGTGAGGCTGAGGCAGGAGAGTTGCTGAAGCCCAGGAGTTCGAGACCAGCCTAGGAAACGGGGAGATCCTGTCTGCAAACAATACAGTGGTGACTCACACCTGTAGTCCCAGCTACTCAGGAGGCCGGCTGAGATGGGAGGATCACCTGAGCCTGGGAGGCAGAGGCTGCAATGATCCCTAATCGCACCACTGCACTCCAGAGCGCCAGAGTGAGATCCTGTCTTTAACCTCCCCCAAAAACAAAGAAAGAAAAGTACTGTCTGATAGGTCAGGAGGTCCACACTAGCTCCAGCCTCCTTCCTAAATCACTGGGCGGCCTTGGGCAAGGCCAGACCCTCTCTGGGAAGCAGAAAGGAGATTTTCCCCCTGCCTCCTGGGCAGGGATTGCGGAGAACGCTAGTGTGTCTAGGTGAGAAGGCACTCTGCAGCTCTGCAGTGCTGGGTTCTGTCTGGAAGCCTTCTCAGGGCCTATGACCCTGCTACGGTTTGAATGTTTGTCCCCTCCCACACTCATGTTGAAATGTAATTGCCACTGTAACAGTGTAAGATTAGACCCTAAGAGGTGGTCAGGCCACAAGGACTCTGCCCTCCTGTGTGAACTCAGGCTGTTATCTTGGGAGTGGGTTCGCTCTCTCCCCTCACTCCTGCTATTCTGTCCAATGTCATGGGATGATGCAGAAGGGTCCTCACTGGGCTCTGGGCCCTCAACTGTGGACTTCCCAGCCTCCAGAGCTCTGAGCCAATACATTCCTGTTTATTATAACTTACCCAGTCTCAGGTATCTTGCTAAAGCAGCAAAAACAGACTAAGACAGACCCTCACCCCCATGAGCCTGCTCCCAACCAGGGCCCAAAAGAAAACAAGCCAGCGAGGGCACTGGGGAATGCAGGGTTTTGGGGAAAGAGCTACAGGAGTGTGCCTTGGCCCCCACAAGGGCCACAGTCCTGCCCCCACCTGGTCTCCCGGGGCTCAGAGAGCAGCCGCCAGCCCACGGAGGTAGTCCCCCGCCAGGGGCAGCACAGCCCAGTCATCAGTCCGCAGGGCCACAGGCACTCCATCTGCCAGGGCCGCCTCTAGCCGCAGCAGCAGCTTTGAGTTCGGGGGCAGGTGGATTGCTACATAGTAGCTGGTAGGGGGCTGGGCCACCACCACGAAAGGCTCCAGGTGGTGGGACACCAAGCCCTCCAGGCCCTGTGGCCCAAGTGGACACCACACACGACTCTCGGCACCCTCTGGCAGGCAGGAATCCCAGAGCTCCTCAAAGAAACCCAGCCCAGCACCCCCTGGGGGCTTCGGGAAAGGCAGAAAGAGGTCGGCAAAGTTGACGAACAGGGGTGGCAAGTGGGCATGGCACGTGAGACCAGTGGATGTGGTATAAAGGGCGTGGACATCCAGCCGTGCGGGGGCCGGGCATCGGGGCTGCAGCGGCAGGAGCAGAGGGCGGGCAGGGCGACCAGGACACAGGCAGGGCACATGGACAGCCTCCAGGGGTGCATACAGCTGCCCTTCTACACGGAAGCGCAGCTCCAGAGAGTAGATGGGCTCCAGCGCCTCCGGCTGCAGCTTCAGCACTGGGAGTGGGCCCTTGCCCCCATGGGACCCCACGCTCAGCCGTACCAGGGCCGGGGCCTCCTGCACCATCAGTGCTGCCACAAAGCCCTGGTTCTCGGCCACCAGTGAAGAGGCCAGTGCAGGTGGGGCAAGCGAGGGGCCCAGGGCCACCCCCAACTTGGGTCCAGCCAGGTGTGCCAGGAGGATGTAGTAGAGACGGGCGTGGTCACGCCCATCAGGGTCCTCCAGCTGCCTGGCCAGCACCTGCAGCAAGTCAACCAGGCCACCCCTCACCCCTGCCCGCAGCAGCGCCCGGCAGACCCGCAGTAGGCCCTGCTGTAGGTCCCAGTTCGTGCAGTGGGCAGCTGCGGCCTGTAGAAAGTTGAAAGTAGCACTCTGGGCATCTCCATCTGCCACCTTTGCCAGCATTTTCAGGTGCCAGCAAAGAGCTTCATCCCTGCCCGGCCTGGACACCACCTCCTGCCGCAACACCACCTTCAGGGGCTCCCTCAGCTCAGAGTCCACCTGATCCAAGAAGTCCACAAAGTGGGAAGCCAGCATGGGCCGGACTCGGTATAGCTGGGCCAGTCCGTGGATCAAGGGGGTCAGCACTGTAGGTTGCCCAGCCAGGCAGCGGGTCACCAAATATGAGGCCTGGAAGCAGACAGTGGCCAAGGCCCGGGGGCCCTCATCCAGGGCTGCCTGCTGCAGCAAGCCAGCCAGCAGCTCTTCCAGGTAGTGCCGTGGGCTTGGAAGCTGGCCTTTCTCCTCTTCTTCATCCTCAGCACAGAGCAGGCACAGCAAATGCAGGCGGGCCAGGAGAGCCATCGGGTCATGCAGGAGACTGGGCAGGAGACCACGGCATAGCTGAGGCCCTAGCAGCAGTGGGGCAGCCTCCTCACCTTCGGGGCCCAGCGGCCAGTTCTCAGGGAAGCTCAGGAGGCAGTGCAGGTAAAAGAGATGGGTGGGCGGAGGCAGAGCAGGGTGCTGGGCAGCCAAGGTGAGCCGGCGGAGCAGCAGCGCTTCATCCTGGGCTGTGAACAGGGCCTCACCAAAGGCCGCCTTGAGGGCAAGCACGGCGTGCAGCAGTGTCAGCTGTGCTGTGCCTAGCAGCCGTACCAGCTGCGGCTTGAAGAGTGCGGGTGGCTGTCCCTGCAGACCCCGCAGGGCCCAGCCCAGCAGCCACAGGAGCTGGGCCTGGGCCACAGGAGTGAGCAGATAGGAGGTGTCCAGAAGCTGGATCACCGCAGCCCGCAGCTCCCGCGCCTCCTCAGGGCTGTGCTCTCGTGCTGTAAGACTACGCTCCCCCTCTCCCTCCTCAGCTGCCGGCCAGCTGGGTGCTTGGGGCTGAAGGCGTCCATCGCCCTCCTCCACTAGTGTCCAATCCCAGGGACCACCCCCAGTTGGGGAGACCTTATCCGTGAGCAGTCCCCCTAGGCCAGCCCCAACCCGGGACTGGAGCACCAAGGTGTTGCGCAAAGCAAGGGCCAGCAGCAGGCTGAGCGGCTGGACGGGGCCTTCCTGCCCCAGCAGGCCCCGCAGCAGCCCCAGGGAGCCCCCCAGCAGCCCGGGCTTGCAGCTCTCTAGCTCTCGCAGGCACTCGCAGGCGGTGGCCTGCAAGGGGCGCTGTTCCGAGGCGGGGACAAAGCCTCGCCCCAGATCGCTGCCTGCAGCCAGGCCGAGCAGTAGGGGCAGGAGCCGGCAGGAGGCGCCCGAGGTGGGGCCCAGCGCGCCGCCCGCCGCCAGGGCTGTGGTGGCCGCCAGCAGCAGGGGCCGACGGAGAGCTGAGGGCCGCGGGGGTAGGAGGACCAAGGTGTCCAACAAGGAGGTGGCGGCCACCTCGGCCGCAGAGACGTCGGGCCACAGCTGGGCAGGGTACTCCAAGCTCAGGGCCAGCAGGGAAACCTGGATAGGGGATTAGGAGGCAATCACGAAGATGAGGTTCAGGACGCGGCGGGCTGGGGTGACTCTGCGGGCCGGGGCAGGGGACGCGTGGGGGCCTACCTTGGTCTGCTCGTTCAGCTTCTCACTCCTCAGGTCGCCCAGCAGGTCGCGACCCAAATCCTCCCCCTCGGGACCTGCCATGAAGGCGGACGGGCTGGCCCGGAAGGCCCCCAAGCGCTGGGCCCAGGCGTCCCGGCTCAGGGGCCCCATCGTGAGGCGCGCGGGCCCCTGCGCAGGGAGAGGGACCCTCAGGCCGCAGCCACCAGGAGCGCGGGCCCGCCGCCGACCCCGAGGGGCTACGGTCACCCCTGGCCGCCGCGCAGATGCCGACAGGACCCGCGCCCGGCTCCCACAGTGACACCAGGGCTCTCAGGTGTCCCGCCGGGGCCCCCGCGGGACAGGACAGAAGCAGGGCGAGGGAGGGTGCGTGCCGAGAGCTCGTTAGGCCGCCGCCCTCCAGCCCGCGGCCCGCACCGAAACCACAGCGCCACCCCGGCCCCCGGCGCCCGCGGTAACGGGCCGCGCTCGCCGCCTGACTCAGCCGCCGCGGGCGCTCAGGCAGGCCGGCTCCTTCCGGGCTGGCGGCGCGGGGCGGGGCGCAGCGCGGGGGCGGCCAAGGCCGGGCGGGGCGTAACGGGGCCACCGCCTCCCGCAGGTGCCGACTCGCCGGTTTCGCGGGGGCTGACTAACTGTCCCGCCGTGTAGGCCCCCTTCCCCGAAACCGCCTCAGGCCCAGGCAGGAAAGGCGGAGGGGAGTGGGTAGGGGCGGCGGAGCGGGGTGGGCCTGGGCCCCCGATGCCGGGTCCCGCGGCGCAGGGCTGCGATCCCGCGGCCCTCGGCTGACAGCGGCCCGGCCCCACCAGCGCCCGCCAAGCCACGCAGGGCGGCGGCCAGCGCGCCCCCCGCCGGCGCCCGGGCGCACCGCACCCTGCGCCAGATGCGCGGCCCCGGGGGGCGCGGGTGCGGGTCCTGGGGCTCCCGGAGTGGCCGCTGGGGGTGAGCGAGCTGCGGTCGCAGGGCGCCCGCAGGAAGAGCGCCCCAGCTGAACCGGTCCGGCGGGCGCCGCAGGGCTTGGCTTCGCTTCCCTGACGCCTGCCTGGGCCCCCCGCCCGCTCGGCTTGGGGGCGAGGAGCCGGCGCCGCGGTTGCGGCCCGCCAGGAGCTGCTGACCTTTGTTTGCCCGAGGCCGCGCTGGCGGCCCGCAGGGGTCGTGACGGCGAGGGTGGGGCAGGGCCCTAAGTCGAAAACAACGGGATCCATACTCGGGAAGTGCGGGCTGTCAGGGCCTGGCCGGTCACGGGGCTCGAGGCATGCCTAGCGATGGGGAAAACAGGCCCGGGAGGAGGGCGGCCTTGCCAACCGAGACCTGGGGCCAAGCAGGGCCGGAACTCAGCACTCTCGACTTCAGTGGGCTGGATTCTGGCTGTTTGGGGCCATTCGGGGGTCTGGGCCGCCGCCTCTCCTAGGCCAGAGGCCCAGGTTACAGGTGCCCCACAGACCACCGGTTTTCCAGGGCACAGAACCGCCGGCGCCCAAACCCCACCACCCACCTCTAGCTCTAATTAGCCGCTTTGAAGATGAAACAGGCCTGAGCCCCCATGCAAGCCACTGCCAACTGGCCTCTCCCTACCCCATCCTGCTCCAGATGGGAGGTGGTGGAGAGTTGAGGGGTGGAGAGTGCCAAAAAGGAGGCTGTCTGGGTGCCCTTGGGGATGGAGAGATAGGGACCCACCCGGAGGGACAGGTCCAGCCAGAAGGCCCGGTCCCGGCTCCTCTAGGCCCTGGCTCCACAGTTGACTCACAGGCGGCAGCCCCAAACCACTTCCCTCTAGGTGCCTCAGTTTCCCCATCTATAAAATGTGAGTGATAACTCCCACCCAAGAGGCTGTGGGGTGAGGCAGCCTGGCTAATTAAACCCAAGATGAAAGAGGGCAGGATGAGAGCAGCCCTGGGGAGGGGAGGCAGCCTGCAGTAAGAGCCAGTCTGGTTTCCCTGTCTGAGCCCAGAGGGTGCTGGTAACTGCACATCCCTGGCCCTCACCACCCTCACGGTGAGGCAGGAATGATTATTAAACCCCTCGCAGAGTTGAGGAGACAGGCTTCCAAGGGTCAGGAGGCCTGACACTGGCTCTGGCCCCGGCTCAGCCTCTGACAGCGTGGCCTCTGCACACCTCCTGCCTGAGTGTTGGCTCCTTGAGGCTGAGGGTCTGGAGGGAGGGAACCCACTTGTGGTCTCCAATGCTGCAGTGGACGAATCTGCATGGACTTACTGAGGCTCACAGCAACCCAAGTACCGAGGGTGGGTACCAGATGAGGAAAGGGAAGCCCACAGAGGTGCGGTCACTCAGTCACAGAGCCCCTCAGAGGTGGAGCCTCGACTTTCACAAACAGCCCCTTGTTGCATCTGACCTGGTCCTCCCCCTATACCAAGTACCCTTGGCCCTCTTGGGTGTCCAGGTCCCTGGGTGGGCCCTGTTCTCACCTGTCTGTTCCCCTATGGGCGGGTGGTACTGGCTCTGTCCCTGGCAAAGCCAAGCATGGAGCTGAGCTCAGACTGTCATCAGACTCACCCGTGACAGCAACATGCCAGACGAGGGCCCAGGTGTGGGCCACTGCTGGATGCTGAGCTGGGAATTCCCCACTCCATGCCCTCTCTCATTTCTCCTCCTGCTGAGTTTCTGTCCTCCCCATGCAGCCCAGTTATGGGCAGACACTAGACACAAGGCTTGGAAAAGGGAAAGTCAGTTTCCCAAGGGTTCTGAGCCTCAGTTTTCTCATCTGTAGAATCGGGCTACAACAAACACACCCTCGCGGCCCTGGCTGCTGGAGACACAGGAAGGCTTAGGAAAGAACGAGTCCATAGGCAGAGTCATGGAGATAGAGCAGATAGTGGGTGCCGGGCCATGGAGAGGGGAGACACAGTGACAGCTAATGAGTACAGGGTTTTCTTTGGGGTGATGAAAATGTTCTGAGATTTAGTGGTGATGGTTGTACAGCTCTGTGAGGTTACTAAAAACCAGTGAATTGTACATTTTATAAAAGGGTGAATTTGATGGTATATGAATTCTATCTACATAAAGCTATTTAAAATGGCATTTAAAAAGGGGTCCCACCCCAGACCAGCAGAGGCACAAAAAGTAAAAATAAAAAAAATACAAAGGGGTCCCTCAAGTTCAGAACTTGCAGTGGTGGGGAGGAGAACCAACAATAAACAAGGAAGACAAAACAAAATGCCACAGAGTGAAAGTTGTGGCAAAGAAAATAGGATAGTGGGACAGAGGTGGCGGGGGACAAGGATTTAGCTGGGGTGGATGGAGAGGCCCCTCAGAAGAGGGGACATTTGGTTGAAACCTGAATGAAGAAAGGTGGCCAGTAATCCAGTAGGGAAAAGTGTTCCAGGCAGAAGGAGCATCAGGAGGAGGGCCAGATCTGGGAACAGGCCAAGGCTTGTTCAGGGGACACAGGAGACAGCAGTGTGGCTGGCATACAGGGACCCAGCTGGAAGGGAATTGGGAGGTCAGGGGCGGCCACTGGAGGGTATGAGCCAAGGAGAGGCCTGGCCTGGGTTTTAACAGCACCTCATGTGGCCCACCTGCCTCTCCAACCTCAGCTCCCCTGCCCTTTCTTCCCCTCACCGCACAGCCAAGTTGCATTTGGGTTCGTGGCACACACACTAGACTCACTCCTGCTTTGCGGCCTTGGCATCAGCTGTTCCTTCTGCTGGTCATTGTCTTCTCTACTCTGCACAGCTGGCTCCTCCCTCTCATTCAGGCCTCAGCACCCCTACCTGCCACCATCACATTCTCTTGCCAAATGTTTTGTTTGCGTCTTATGCTTATGCTTACTTGTTTCCTTATTTGTTTGCCTTGCTTTGTAGAATCTCAGTGCCTGGCACAGCAGGTTCTCAGAAATGAAGGGATGAATTTAGGGATGAATGAATGCCATGTAGCTGGCACTGTGCTGCTACGTGAACAGAGATATGCTGCTAGATGTGAACGGAGCAGAGGGCGCCAGCCTTCATGGTACTCACAGTTCAACTACACGTTTCCCCGCCGTCACATACATCGTCTGTCTCCTGAGCTACCCAAGAAGACAGCCACACCACACACTGCGGCCTGTGGGTCAAACCTAACCCACAAAGATGTTTTGTTGGACCCATTCCATGTTTTAAATTTTTTTGATTAGCTGGGTGTGGTAGCAAACACCTGTAGTCCCAGCTACTCAGGAGGCTGAGGCAGGAGGATCACTTGAGCCCAGTAATTCAAGATTGCACCACTGTGCTCCAGCCCAGGTGACCTAGTGAGACCCCAACTCTTAAAATTATTTTAAAAATAAAAAAATTGAGCTAACATTTAAAAATTAGTCAGTTTCACTTACAAATCTGGACTTCTGGCTTCTCTTGGAAAATGGAAAGCTGTGGCCATGTGGGGTTTGTGCACCTGAATGACAGGATTGTGGCTGCCTTTCAGATAGGCACATTCTCTCCAGTTCCCCCCAACTCTGTTTTCCCCCTGACTGCCAGGGTCAGTTGTCTTTTGTCACTGAATTTGTAGTATTGTCTTCCTGTATCTGTGTCTCTACCAAAAGTTGGACTATGAAAGGTGAATGGGTCACGGGAATCAAGAAAAGAGGATATTCATTCATTCAACAAACATTTATTGATAACCCACTTTGTGCCAGGCACAGCTGGGGATACAGCAGTAGACAACACTGCCTCCCACCTCGGGCCCCATTCCACACCCTGTAACCACACCTTGTGCAGGGAGGGGTTCCCTTGGCCGGCTTCACTTTATTTACCCAGTGTCCTGTCCTTCTGGACACTGGAGTTGCTCCCCTGATGGGGAAGACTGCACCTTGTGTCTAGGGACATCTGTGAAGACTTCACCATAGTATCCACCGAGCACCCACTGTGTACCAGCCCATCGGGGGTGGCACAACAAAACTGCTCAATCAATATTTGTTGAATGAATGAACTAACTGCACCTTTCTCCTGGACAGAGAGTGGTTTAAGGTTGTTTCTCCTGGATTCACCTCAAAAGATAGGCACATACCAGGTGTTCACTTAATGTCAGTTGAACTCAAAGGTCTGGCTGGGATCAGAGTGGAGGTCACAGCCCTTGGAAAGGCAGGGGAAGAGGCAAACGCGAACGCCCCATCCCTGCCCTTAAGTAGGTCAGCGAGTGAGGGAAGCCCAGCCAACGCCAAAGTGTCACGATGGGATGGGAGCGTGGGCTTCATGGAGGCCTCTGAGGATCGGGGGCATCCCTCCACATGGACCTGGGGCCTGAGGAGAGTATGAAGAGTGGCTGGGGGCGCGGGTCCCAGGCTGAACCTCAGCCCAGGGCAGGCCGTGGGTAGGAAGCTCTCCGTGGTGGCCGTAGCAGGGCAAAGGCGGCTGGGCCTTTCCCGGTCTGAGGTCCCCAGCCCTCCGCATTCCACCAGCCTGGCTGCACCTGAAATCCACCCATTTGGGACAAAGAGAGTTTTTGAGAGTGCATAAGTCCCAGTGGCCAAGGCGTGGGGGTCTGTCGGGCTGTCGGCGCACTCCGCGCAGTTGAAGCCACTTCCTCCGTGAAGGCTTCAGGGCAGAACGCGGGTTCTCTGCCGGGTACTCGGTCGCGCGGTCCGCGCCTCCCCACACACCGGCCGGGGACGCTCCTGCGGCCCTGCGTGCCTTTTCGCACGAAGCCGGCGCCCAGCAAACACCCACCGGCTGAGCCACGAGTTGCTCAGCCAGGCCTTTGGGATCCCACGCCGCCTGGGCCCAGGCCCGGTTCAACAAGTGCGGACCGGGCCGCCCGTTCCCGCCCGGCGGCTTCGCGCCTACCCAGGAGCCTCGGGCGCGCCGGGTTGGGCCGGCCCCAGTTGGACGAGTTTCGTATCATCACCCGCGGAGCGTGCCAGCGCCGGTGCAAATAACGTTGCCCCCTCCCTCCCTGCTCCGCTCCCTCCGAAACCCCTGTTTGCAAACGCCGGTACGCCCGGCTGGGAGGTCCCGCTGGAGCCGGGCCCGCTGGGCAGCCAGGGGCAGAGTGCCCGACGCCCGCCCCCCGCCCTGCCCGGCCGCCCCGCCCGGGCCGCGAGGCCACCTCACCCGCAGCGGAATGGAAACCGGTTCGACAGGTAACAAATAGGTGGGTTGTCACCGTTATTTCCCAACGCATGCGCCGTCGCTCCCCAGGCCACTCCAAGCTAATTAGATCAGATCACCGCCCCCCACCCCCCCGCCCCAGCCACCAACACACACCGCCGCGAGCCAATAAAGCGTCAACCCGTCCGTCCGGCTCGCACTTTAAGACTTCCCGAGCGGCCGCGGGGACGCCAGTCGAGCCGGGAGACGCTTACCTGCTGCTTCCCCGCGCTGCCCGGTGCACCTGGCCTCAAGGGACCTCGTTTGCAGGGAGGACGGCGACACTCTGCGGAGTTGGAACCGGCGCGCGCCGTCCGGGCTCGGACCTTCCCCGGAACGTAGGGGCGCCTTAGCGACTCCTTCCCTGCTGTGCCCCGTTCCCGGCGTTCAGCCCGGCCCCGCAAAGGTGGGACGGTTCCCGGCTTCAGTTACGGAAGCGGCCCGTGTCCAGCGACGAGGGTTCGAAAATGCCCCGCGCGTTCCTGGTGAAGAAGCCGTGCGTCTCCACGTGCAAGAGGAACTGGAGCGAGCTCCCAGACGAGGAGCGCGGCGAGATCTACGTGCCAGGTGAGGCAGCCGCCCTCCGGCCTGGGACGCCCGCGGCGGCGTCGAGGCTGCGGGCGGGCGCAAGTAGGTCTGCGGAGCCGGACGGCAGGCGCGGTGTGGGCTCCGGGGCTGAATGCGGCCGCGGCCCAGGCTGGGTGGGCCCGCGGCTCCCGACCCGGGGCACAGGGGGCTGGGGCGGGGCCGGCGGAAGAGCGCCGGTGGGGGCGGGGGCTGCATGGTGGAAGCGGAGCCGCTCCCAGGGCCTAGGGGGCGCGGAACCGCTTACCCCCACCCCCTGAACCGCGGCACAGTGGAGGCAGCGGGGTGTGTCACCGCTCAGGTGACCCTCGGCTCCGACGTCGTAAATCCAGAAAACCGGGATTTGCAGGAGGCGGGAGGAGGGCACTGGAGCGATGCCACTTTGGGGGGCGGGGAGCGAGCTGGAGTTTCGGCCGAGATTTGTGTTAAAAGACTCTGAGCTCCAGCCGCTCGCACAGGTCCTTCCTCCTCCCCGACAACACTGGTGGGCGGGTCGGAGTGAGGGTCGAGCCGGTGGGGGGTGTGGGCCCCCAAATTTTCGTGGGGCTCCGGCTCCTGGTCCCGCGCAGTGCGCCGAGACGGTAGGGCAGGCGCCCGCTGCGCCCCTCTTGCCCTTAAAGTAGAGGTGGGATCGGGTCTCACGTCTGCTAGAAACGCACTTCCTTCACCTTGGCGGAGGACACAATTGCATAGAAAGCAGCTAAAGGGAGCCCACCCCACAGCGGGGGGCCAGGCCCTGGGAAGCTGGTGTACCCAGTTATTTTTGGCAAACGCCTAGACAGCGTCGACTGTGAATGAGTAACCCGAGTTGCTTCTTCCTCCAGCGGCATCTTCCCCTGAACGCCCCAAGAACACTCCTATCCCTTCTGTCCTCCCCAACCCCCAACAAAGTCTTTGGTCTGGAGAAAGCCTGCTTCCTTCCGAACGCCCCCTCCCCAGGCCTTGGGGGCGGGGCAGGGACGCTCTGAATGCCCAGCCCAGCCCCTCCGAGGGGGGAGGGGGGAGTAATTAACCAACTGACTTTGACCCTTGATCTGCAGACTCCCTGGCACCGCCCCAGGCCTTGTAGGAAAGTGGGGAAATGAGGGCAGCAGTGAGGGGCCCTGTGAGGGCTCTTGCTCAGTTTCCCTCCTGAATCAGCTGTTGAAGACAGTGTGGTGAGGTCTTTGTGGCCTGTGGTGCTGGCAGGATGTTTCACAGCTTAACCTGATCTCAAGGGGACCCCTCTTTCACAGTTCCTTAAAACAAGGGAATGTGCCGGAAGACCCTGATAACCCCATTGGGGAAACTGAGGCAAAAAGGGACGTGAGTGGCCTTCTCACCTGTGGCAGATTAGGGTGTGGGCTCCGGATTCTGTTTATAGCTTCTTGCTTGGCCACCATCCCTGGTGAACTGGCTGGTTCTCTACCTGGGGGTTTGTGGGGGCATGCACAGAGCTGGAGCCCCCTCCCCGCTCGGCCCTCCGCCCTCACCTGTGTTTGACTTGCTGCTTAGCTGCTCCTTGGGATCTGATAAACTGAACTTGGACCGTGGTAAAGGTGAGCTGAGCTCTGAACCAGGCTCAGTGTGCTGTTATTTTTAGTTTTATTTCACATCCCCAATCAGTAACAGATCATGTGTTGACTTTTACAAAGGACAAAGAAATTCCGTTTGTTGAAATCATTGACTTCTTTGTGTCCTAGCGATTTTCTCCACCACAGTTCTAGTGGCCACAGTGGAAGTGGCAGGGGAGACTTATGTCCCAGGGGCTGTCCCATCAGGTGCAGGGGAGGGCCTCTGGGTGGTCCGGGCCACCGGCTGCCACCGTCCAGGTGAGGGAGACCTGCTGGCTTCTCTGTAGGCTCCTCCAGGATGTGTGACGGGAGTCCAATCTCAAGGATGAAGGGAGAATTTGTCCTCATCTCTCTGGCAAGGAGAGAATCCTGTGGGTCAAGTAAAGGGTAGAAGATAGAGAACTTAATTTTACCTCTGAAAGCCATGTGGCCCACTGAAGAGTTTTCCCACAGTTTTTGGCAATGAGAAAGGGAATGTCCGCAGTCCACGCTCGGGTGCCTCAGATGGCTGGAGAGTGGGGGTGTGTTTTGTGCTGGCCTGTCCCCTGGCTGGGCCATTCCATCACCAGCCAACCATGACCCCAGAGCCAGCTGGGCACGTTTCCGTTCGCCTCACAGATTCCTGGAACGTTGTGACCAGCTAAGCGTTGACCCTATTTCCAGTGGAGGGCCCAGGAACGTGGGAGTGTTTGAGTTCTGACCATGCTGCCAGGTTCCTCTGAGACCCTCAAAGCCTCCCAGAGACCACCTGGAAGGTGAAGGTTTTACTGGCCAGAGGTGCTGGGCCCCAGCCCGACAGCACTGATTCCAGGGCCCCAGTTTGACAATCACATCAGCCTCTCTCCCCCAGGTAGAGTTCTAGAGCTTCTCACTCCCAGAGCAGAATCTTTCCCCTGGGAAGAGGTGAAGACGGCTCCATGCATGCACCCTGGAGACTTGAAAGGATTACTGGCTAGGAAGCCACCTTGAACCGCTGCCCCCCCCCCACAACTGCCCTCCCCTCGCCTTCCTTTGTTATGTCAATATTGACTTGGAGTGACAGGGAGTAATGCCTGGTTCCTTGAGGATAAAGCCAGGCACCTGTACCCAGGGGGTAAATTCTACCTCCTGGACTGACCAGGGAAGGGCTCCAGGAACAGGGTTGAAGCTGGTTCTCACAACCCCCCAGCAGAGCCCCACCCCCAGCTGAGTGAAATCTCCAGGTCAGGAAGGCACCTGAGGACAGACTGGAAGCTGGAGTCCAGGAGCATCCCAGGGCCTCTTCCAGGCTTCCCAGCCTCCCCTCTGTCACTGGGCTGGCCACGGTCTGCTCTGCCACTAGCCTGGTGGACACTCGAGCTCAGGGAGGCCAGCAGGCTGGGCAGTGGGACACTGGAGCTTCCTTCAAGGAATGCGGCCCAGCCTGGCTCTACCGCTAGGTAGTGTGGGCACTTGGGCAGGTCTCTTTCCAGCTGGTCAGGAAGGCTGAGAGTGAGCTTTGGGGCCTGAGGATGCGTCGGGGGTGAGGATGGGGAGAGCTCCAGTCTCCAATGGGATGGTTACCCTGTAGCAGTTCCTTGGCCGTGTTTGGCAGCGAAGGAGATGTTTGCTGTGCTTGCCAGGGAGCGGGGCTGGGAGAGTGGACAGCCACACAGTGGAGAGAGACAGAAGAGCAGGATGGGCCTAGGCAGCCAGCTAGCTGAGACTCCTACCTGTCCGCCGGGATCCTGTCACCCAGGCTGCTAGGCTGTCTGTGCTGAACTTGGGTGTCCTGAGGCGGAACCTGGCAGAGGATTTGTCCTGGAAAGAACAGGTGAGGGCAAGTCCTTTGGCCGCAGGGAGGATGGCGAGGGAAGCTGGCCATGGGTGAAGTCGGGGCTCCTTTGTATCATTGGCCATTTCAGCAAGTCCTGGATGGAGTCCCACAGGGACACTGGGCCTGTGCCCGGCTGGGTGGGGGCTGCAACAGGAAGCACTGCCCCCACTGTTCTGGGCGGGCACCCTGGTAGGAGGTCCAAGGCACAGTTTTAACTTCTTTGTGGATACCCAGTGAAAAGTGGTTGGGAAAGAGGGAAAATATACTGTCTGAAGGAACTTCTGGAAGTTCACAGTGGGAACAGAAAGAGCAGAGACTGGCCCATGCGTTTCTGGGCTGGCCTGCCTCTGGCTGGTGCTGGGTCCTTTTGGATGATTTGCTAGCTGACCTACAGGGAACAGAGGAGATGGGCACGGGGGCACCAGCCCTTCCTGAGAAGGGTGTAAGGCTGCTGAAAACCAGCTGCACTGTGCTGACAGGCTGGGCCCCCGTCTCACCTTCAGAACTGGGCTGACCCCCATGTTCCGGGGCAGCACCCATGTGGTCAGCGGGGCCCAGGAGGGGGTCATCCTTGCATCTGCTTCATTTGCTCTCTCCAGAGAGCCAGGGACAGGCCTCATGCCCAACATCTGGGCCAACAGCTTTCCATCCAAGAGATGGAGGACTTACAGAGGCTAAGGCAGGAGACAGGCCTCGATGGGCAACTGCCCTGGACACGGTTCCTCGGTGTCCATGCCTCTGCTCTGGGCCTGGCCCTAAACATTGTCCAGGTAGAGGCAAGTTGGGCTAGCAGGAGGGGACCCATAAGCCCCCAGGCAGTAGGAAGAGGGCCAGGCTAGTTTGGCCTTGCCATACTCCACAGCTGTGGGCGGGTGATGAGTGGTCACAGCGCCACCGCCTTGCCGGAAACATCTAATTAGGGACAGAGAGCACCACAAGCAGGGCCCAACCAGTTCTGCTTCCTGCCTCCTGCCACTCAGTGACACTCAGTGCCAGGTGGCACGCCAGTGCGCACTCCCTGTGCGTGTGGCCGCAGGAGGGACATGCTCATGGGGGTGGCAGGGAGACAGGTTTGGCAGGGTGGGTGGGATGAGGCAAACATCCCCACCCTGGCGGCGGGTGGCCGCCCGTCCAGCCTCCTCTGCCCCTCACTCAGGGTGGAGGTGGACCAGAGAGCCAAAGCAGGCAGGCCCACTCTGGCCCCAGTCTCCCCGCACCAGCTCGGCCAGGTTTGTGTGGAACAGCAGAGGCGGGCAAAGGACACAGGTCTCCTCCCAAATGCATGGATCTCAGGACCCTGACCATAAGCCTCCCCTCTGGTGGAGCAGGACAGCCCAGAGCAGCCACCGTTGTGGGCTCAGCCTGTCCCTCACCTGCTGTCTCCTGCTGTGGTGCGGCTGGGGGACCTTGCTCACACCATCCAGTACTGACAGGCAGAGGAGGGTAGGGGTTCCTGTTTGTCTCCACCTGGATTGAGAAATGGAAAATGTCATCCAGCTTTGAATTCTCAGCCAAGGTCTCCAATAGCTGGTGAGCCTGCATGAGCAGCTCACCATCGCCCCTGCCCACCCCCAGCCAGACAGCTCCTGTGGCAGGGGAACAAGCCGGGGTAGACAGCCAGACCCCGACACTCAGGCTCAGAGAGAGGTGCAATGCCAGCCCAGAGGCCAGGCCTGGGCCAGGCGCTGGTGAATCAACCCTAGGAATGAGGTGGCCCATTAAAGGCCCCCGGACAGACGGACGCCAGTGCCTGCAGGACGGGTTCTGGGCGGCGGCGGGCGCGTTCTTCTCTCTCAGACCTTTGTTGTGTTTTGAGGGGGCGAGGACTGGGGCCTCTCCCGAAACTTCAGCACTGTCAAACGCACCCTTGCTCCACAACCACATTCCTCTGCTTCCCCCACGTCCCTGTCCTCTGGGAGAAGAGGTGAGGGCAGCAGCCCTCCTGCCTGGGCCCTTGCCCGTTCTCTGCCTCGCCGACTGCAGGGTGGCAGGGTGCACAGGGCCATGCTCCTGCTTCTGCAATCCCACATCAGCCTCCCTCAGAAGCTCACTCATCCTTTAGGTCATAGGCCCCTGGTGATTTTTCCTTCTGAAGCTTGGAGGATGTCCTTAGCTTACAGGTTTCAAGTACTGAGCTCAGGCTCTTTGGAAGAAAAATATTAAGTTGAAAAATTTGCCCCAGCTCTGTTGGCTTTGAGAATTGTGTCTCTGTGTCCCTCAAGAGTGCTCTCTTTCTGGTCCTCTGTAGTCAGCACTGGGCTTAGGGTCTGAAGCCAAGCCTCCTGGCCCGTTCGGTGTGAGGTGCCTGCCGTGGGGCGTGGCTGCATCCAAGGGCTGCCAGGTATCGGTGCTGCCGCTGCTGAGGGAGCCCAGCCCGACATGCCCCAGCGAGCGGTCCTGCCGAGGGGGAGGGTTGCATAAGCCTGGGCAGGCCGCCGAGACTGTTAGGCTGCATCCACCTGCAGCTCCCTGACCTCCTCCCTGTTCCACCCACCTGGCCTGTTTCCTGCAGAGCTGGGACCAGCTGGGAGTGGAGAGCCTGGAGCCCTGGGCTACAACAGCAGGGGCCGGCCTGCTGGGGTGGGGGTGGGAGGCAGGGCTAGGACCACCCACACCCCCAAGACCAGCAGCCAAATCTCGGAGGAGAGGCCTGGAGCGGCCCAGACCACCGGGGACCATTCTGATGTGGCTCCAAGAGCTGTCCCTGGGCAGAAGGTCTCCACTGGCTCATGTTCAAAGCCAAGGTGCAGGAAGGGGGTTCGGCCACAGACGGCTCCGGCTCCCAGTGCCCTTTGTCCCTGTAGGAGAGTGGATGAGGCCTGGAATTCAGAGGGACTGGCCCAGGTGGGGCAGGCAGACAACTCCAGAGGGATAATTGGCAGGGCAATTCGGTCCTCCCAGTTCCGCTAAGACACAAATTACTCAGCGGGCAGTGGCGCTTGGCTGGCATCACCTGCAATTACCTTAATAGGGCAGGAGGGCGGTACAGCAGTGGTGGTCGGGGCAGCCCCGCTCTGCCACATGTCTGCGATGGGAGGGACGGAGTCTCCAGGTTCCAGCCGTCTCATGGCTAGGGAAGCTTCCAGAAACCCCGCTGGATCCTCTCTTCTCTACCAAGCCCCTCACCTGTCTGTTCTCTCCCCAGTCAGCCTGGGCTTCTGCCCACCACAACCCTACCGGGAGCCGGAGCCCTCTGTGGCCGAACCCCCTTCCTGCCCCCTGGCTTTGAACATGAGCCTTCGAGACTCTAGCTACAGTGTGGCCCCTGGGCCCTGTGTGGTGGCCCAGCTGCCCTCTGAAGACATGGGACACTTGACAGACCCCCAGAGCAGAGACCATGGCTTCCTGCGCACCAAGATGAAGGTAATGCCACTCACGCTGTCTCTGAGGGCCAGGGGCGTGCATGTAGACCTGCGTCCAGCTCGTAAGACATGGCACAAATGAGATGTAGGCAGAGACTGACCTGGGACCTGGGCCAAGGTTTCTGCAGAGGAGTGCCGATCTCCGGGCAGATGGCACAGAGCTGTGGCCTCTGGGAGGTGGGCACCACCCTCCTTGGGGCACTGGGGGCTGGCATCCACGTCTTCCCAATCTGCCAGCCTGTGGCCCCAACTTCTGGATGTCTGTCAGCAATGCTGTCCTCACCCACAGGTGACCCTTGGGGACAGTCCCAGTGGAGACCTGTTCACCTGCCACATCTGCCAGAAGGCCTTCACCTACCAGCGCATGCTGAACCGCCACATGAAGTGTCACAACGACGTCAAGAGGCACCTCTGCACATACTGCGGGAAGGGCTTCAATGACACTTTCGACCTCAAGAGACACGTCCGAACTCACACTGGTAAGCAGAAGCCCATGGCTGGGAGAAGCACGCCAGATCCGCCTGGCTGCGGCCGTGCGGGAAAAGCCCAGCACCCCCTGCTCTCCCTTGGTGACGGGCAGCCTGGGAGGGCATCCCAGAGCTCAGGGCCCAAGTCCTGAGCTCATCAGTTAGGAGTTTTGATTTGAGAGTCACTCGGGAAATTGGTGTTGGACAGGCCTCCGTCTATCCCTTGGCCCGAGAGGCAGGGGTCCTGTCCTTTCTGTGTCCAGAAGCATCTGACAGCCTCCCAAGTCCCTGCCAGGTCTCTGATGCTGGCTCCTGTCCTCCCCGCAGGCGTGCGGCCCTACAAGTGCAGCCTGTGTGACAAGGCCTTCACGCAGCGCTGCTCTCTGGAGTCTCACCTCAAGAAGATCCACGGCGTGCAGCAGAAGTACGCGTACAAGGAGCGGCGGGCCAAGCTGTACGTGTGTGAGGAGTGTGGCTGCACATCTGAGAGCCAGGAGGGCCACGTCCTGCACCTGAAGGAGCACCACCCTGACAGCCCACTGCTGCGCAAGACCTCCAAGAAGGTGGCCGTGGCACTACAGAACACTGTCACTTCCCTGCTGCAGGGCAGCCCCCACCTGTGAGTGGCTCGAGCCCTGGGGGTGCTCCCAGAGGCCCTGAGAGGGTCCAGGATTGCCTCCCAGCTGCCTGGCCAGCCCACCCTCCTGCGACCTCTCACCCGAACACCAGTGATCAGGACTGGAGCCCCCGTGCCTTGGTCTCCCTTCTGGGCACACGTGCTCACTCAGGCCCAGCAATGACCTCTGCTCATTTTTGCATTTTTGACTTATGATCTGAGGCTGCTCTGAGCCTGAGAAGATGTGCCTATGTCTGGAGAAGGGATGAGGCCAAGGCTGCCTTCAATTAGAAGCAGCCGCCCACAGAGATAGGCACTGTGTGCCTGGCAGCAGGACTTCCTACCCAGAGGAAATTCGAGCTAGGATCCCACTGCCCCCGCCTCTCAGCACAGGGCAGGGGCTGCAGGTCCCCAGTGGACAGCAGAGTCAAAAGCACTGGCAAAGGGCACCTCTGCAAACAACCTCGGTGGGGGCTGGCAGCGAACCCCCCACCTGGCAGGGCTTCCTCTAATGCTCAGGGTTCTGGAGGGCTCTGTCCTTCCGGCAAGGAGAGGCACACGTGTGCCCAGCCGTGTGTGTGCGTGTGCTTGTGTGTGTGCACTACTCTGTGTGTGCGTGCATGTGCACGCACAGGAGGCCTTTCCGCATATCACCTCATTTCTAAGAAATAAACTGCAAGGTGCCAAGAAGGTTTTATTTCCTTTTTTTTTTTTTTAAAGATGACAAATGTACAGATGTTAATATATTTTTGGTGCCAATGGCGATGTTTTTAAGAGCGGGACGGAGCTGGCTTTTCTCCATTCCCATGCGCTTCTATTTATCCTGGACATTTCAAACCTCCTCTGTGCCTTGGCTCTGGGCAGGGGCTGCCCCAGCCCACCCCCATTCTTTGTACATGCTGAGACAGTCACTGGAAGATCTTCCTCCAGCGGTGCCCTGGATGGCTGCTCCTGCAAACAGCACGTGGCATCTTCTGCTCTTCCCTCCAGGCTCTGCCCTGCACATCCTGTCAAGGCAAGCCCCAGTGACCTGGAGAGCTGGCCTGATGCTGAGGGTGTGGCCTTCTGGGGCTTTAGGGGGCAGCAGGTGGGACGAATGACGATGCCCATCCACTACCTGAAGCACTAGGACACTCTTGCAGGGCCAGGCTGGAAGGCCGGCCCTTTTCTTGGTTGAGTCAAAAGCCCTAGCACAGTGGCAAAAAATGGGACAGAATGACAACCAGCACCTCAGAAACTTCCAGAGGGAGGAGAGGATT